ATTGGTGGTATGCTAATGTTAGCTATTTTCTATTGACTTCCTATTCCAGAAAATGGTGGTTTAGCACCCCTTGGTTAAACTAGCACCTCTGTTGTCCCTTCATTGCCTCAGTATAATCATATCACACTGTTGCTTAAAAAAAATGTAATGTTTAAATTATTGCTGCTATGTACATATTATTTACTGCCAAGCCTAGTAGGGAAAAATGACTGTTGCCTTGCTTGTACGACTGTTTATTTTCACCTGAAGTTGATGACTGTCTTTTTGTTTGTTTTTGTGCTTGGTTCTGTGGTCCTATCATAAATTCATCTCAGGGCTCCAATACATTTGTAAAACATCTCCTAAATATTCTGTTCCGTGCAGTCAAATCATCAGGCCCTTTTGTTTTTCCCTGGAGAAATCCCTCCTCAAGACCTTCTTCCTCTTGCTCCCATATGAAGCAACTGCTCATACAACCAGCAACTCAGCCTTCATCCTGGGGCATCTCCTAACTGCTCAGAAGTGAGGATAGGACCTGCTGTGGGAATCTAAATGTTCATTTTCTAAACCTGAAGTTCTGTATCTCCTCCCCCATTGTTAGTTTCCATACCACCAAACATGTATCTCCAAATCCTGAAACTTGCTGGAGTTCAGCTGCACAAGTTGCCTTCTCTCACTGACATCCCCAAGTAGGCATTTGATTTTCAGATTTTTCAGCTCTCCTGGCTTCTCCTTCTACTTTCCACCTTCCAAAAGTATTTGAGGTCTCAGGTCCCCCTTCCCATTCTTTTGGTCCTTGTGCTTATATACCTTTATAACCTTCCTTTATTCTCATTCTAGGGTCATTTCAGGAGGAGAGCAAAAATAAACACTTGTGCTCAATATGTCATGCTTGACTGGATGCTCAGTATTTGTAGTTGGAACCACACATGCTCTGAGTGTTTGTTGATACAGATCTTGGGGGTCTTGTCGAGATTTATGCTTTGTGAGATTTATGAACCCATTTCAGCAGCTGTATGTACTGCTGCTGCCATAACAGATCAAACACTGGCTTAGAATTTGATGAAGCAAATAACGAAATACTTACAAAATATTAACTACTAATTCTTTGCATCATTTGGTCTTTCAACAAATCCAACACATTTTCTGAGTACCTACTATGTGCCAGGGTGCTGTTGTAGGTGTGGGATTATATTGGTAAGATTGATAAGATCCTCTAATGGACTTTACAATACAGTATGGGGAACAAACAATAACAAAGTAAGCAAGTATATAAAATAATTTCAGATAATAACAAATGCTGTGAAGAGAACAAGAGGATAAGGTGATAGTGTCTGAGCATAAAGAAGCTGCACTAGGAAGAGGACCAGGGACGGCCTCTCTGAGGAGGTGACATTTGAGCTAGGCCTGACTGATGAGAAGGGCCTATTTTTATAAAGACTGGGGGATGAGATGTCAGGAAGTACAAGAATCCTAACATAGAGAATAGCTTAATGTGTTCACAGAATAGAAAAAAAGACCAATGTGGTTGGAACACAGTGAAGGGAGAATGATGGGAGAAGGGATCCAGAAGTCAGAGCGGAACAGCAGGTTTGGATGTTAGCCCAAACAGAGGTGATAATTGAAACTATAGGATGAGATAAGATGCAGAGGAGTATGTGGAAGAGAGAATATAAGAGAACTGTACTAGGCAGTGTGGATGCTGCACGAGCTTGTAAGGCACCATCCCCATCTTCAAAGAACTTACAATTTAGTGAAATTGGTAAGACAAGACAAATTCCCAAATACAGACTAATAAAATACAGTGTATAATCAAGCCTTGCATGACATAGTATAGGTTAAAAAAAAAAGTAAAGTAACAATCATTGAGAATTGATGGTAAAAGGTGCTTCATGTAGGAGGTGGTATCTGAGCCAAACTGATGGATGAGTTATATTTGCAGTAGCTGAAAGGCAAGGAAGAGAATCTCAGAGAATCTCACATGAGCAGAGGCTTGAATGTAAGGGTGAATATGACATATTTATGGAACAGCAGAGAAAAGCCTGACTCTTCGGAAGTTGTTGAATAGGTGACCTTTCTTAAATGTGCTTTAGAATGTTGCTTTATAAATGGTGGGAGGGAGGGGTTAGATCTGAAATTATAAGAAAGATTAGCAATTGCCAGGACTCCTTAATTTTTGACATTGTATAATGGTAACAACTCCCCACCTAATTACTTTCTATTATGATGTTGATTAACAATTATTACTTAAAAAAATGAAAACAATTATAAAAAGGGGTACACTGAAGCATCTCATTCCTACCTGTCTTCTTCCATCTTATTTCCCCTCACCCCAACAGGTAGCCACTTTGATTTTCATTTCATTCTGTCCAGTTTTCTTTATGCAGACATGACTATATCTTGTTTCTCACCTTCTGTGTTAGTTTCCTAGGGCTACTATAACAAAGTACCATAAACTGGATGGCTTATACTGTCTCACAGTTCTGGAGTCTGGGTGTCCAGAACCAACGTGTCAGCAGGGTTGTGCTCCCTCTGAGATGCTGGGTAAACTCCTTCCTTGTGTCTTCCGGCTTCCAGTGGTGGCTGTCAGTCCTTGGCCCTCCTTGGCTTGCAGCTGCATCTCTCCAATCTTTGCCTGTGTTATCATACCATTTTCCCTGTGTATCTGCGTCTTCACATAAGGTTTTACTTTTCTTAAGGAACCTCATTCATATTGGACTAGGGCCCTCCCTAACAACTTCATCACAACTTGATTATATCTGCAAAGACCCTATTTCCAAATAAGGTCATATTCCCAAGTGCTGGGTGGAGGTTAGGACTTCCACATATCTTTCGGGGAGGAGGAAATTCAACCCATAACAACCCATATTTCTGATACAAAAGCTAACAATCTACAAGTACTATTTTGTGCCTTATTGTTAAAATTTTAACTATATATCTTGGGGTTCTTTCCATATTAGTACATAGTGATCTTTCACATGCTTTTTCAGTGCTGTGTAGTGCTCTATTATGCGGCTGTACCACAGTTTATTCCATCAGTCTCCTAGTGATGGACACTGGGTTATTTTAAATCTTTTGCTCTTTGAATGAGTAACCTGTACTTTTGTCATTTTGTATTTATGCAAGTTTATCTACGTGATAGATTCCTACAACTGGGATTGTTGGGTCAAAGGACAAATGCATCTGTAATTCTGGCAGATACTGCCATATTCCTTTCACAGGGGTTGTACCATTTTACATTCCCACTAGCAATGTATGAGAATGGTAAACTTGAGACTTGCCAGTCTGTTACATGAGAGATCATATTTTCATTTAATTTTAATGTCTTTTTCTCTTATTATGCACCTTCACATTTAAAACATTATTTTAGGCATTATTTTGTGTAAACTTTTGGCAAAAAAAACTATTGTAATGAAAATTTCTAATGTCAACTATATACGATTATAATAAAATATATAACCTATAAAAATAACCTAAGTTATAACTTAGGCAAATAACCTAAGTTATTTGCCAGATTTGGGCCACTCTTGGGAAAACATGGCCCATCTCCTTTACTCTGATGACTCAAATAACAGAACAAAATAATTTTCATTTAGCTAGGTCCGAGGCAATTTATAGTAGGGAATGAGTGCTCAACTTCAACCTCACAAACCTTTAATATCCCTTAGATTATCTCCAAACAAGCTAAAGTAGCACTTATTTAAACGTAAACTATAGAAAGCAGTAAGTCTGTTTAGAAGAAGCCAAGTTCCACAGCAAAAAACCTTGCTCTCCGTGGCTGTATTTGCTGTCTCACCCATCTTCTCTCAGTCGTACCAGTCTCAATAGGAGCCGCTTTCTAATTTCCTGAATAAAGCATCACTGTGATTTAAATACTGTCAGCTCCTCTCATTGTTACAATGAAATTACACCATAATATTGGCTTGTTTAATGTTTTGACTGTAAATTTGTCACAATTTTCTTCTTAGGAAACATCTGGAGCCATTTACGTTATCAATTCTCACATTTCAGTCATGCCAATATTCTTCCCTGCAGGTGGTACTGTGAAGGCAAGGAGCTTGAAAATTCCCCAGACATTCATATTGTCCAGGCAGGAAATCTGCACTCACTGACCATTGCTGAAGCCTTTGAAGAGGACACAGGACGCTATTCCTGCTTTGCTTCTAACATCTATGGGACAGATTCAACTTCTGCTGAGATTTACATAGAAGGTAAAGCAAAATACTCCTGGAGCACAGCACTTACTAGTAAGATATATAGTTATAATAAATAAACATTTATTGAGGGCCTATCTACCACCTACTCTTCAGTGGGGATAACAGCAGTGAACCAAATAGGCAAAATTCCTAAGTTTATGGACAGAAGGAGTTTGCATCATAATTGGAGAGACAGAAAGTAAATGAGGTAAATAAATAAAATATATAATGTGATAGGTACATGAAATGGTTCCGATCACCAATTTCAATCTGTGTGTGTGGTAGGGGAAGTGGTTCTCACACCACCAACAAGCAATTCTCCATGACACCAGTCTGGCATCCTACAGTTTAACTCTGTTCTGACCATCTACCAGGAGATAGTGTCAGATGAAACAAGTGAGGGGCTCAGTCTTACAAGACTGCTCCCACTCCCCTTCCGATGCCAATCGCAAGTAATAGGTCCCAGATTACCCACAACTTCTGACTTGGCTACAAATTGGGAGGTTCTCACAAACCCCTCCTTGAATTCAATTAATTTGCTAGAGGTGCTCACAAAACTCAGGGAAACATTTATTTACATTTGCCAGTTTACTAAAGGGTGTGATAACACAGATGAACAACCAGATGAAGATATATGCAGGGCGAGGTCTGGGAGGGTTCTGAGCACAGGAGCTCTGTCCCCACAGAGCTAGGGTGTGTCACCCTCGCCCCAGTGTGGTTGTGTTCACCAACCTAGAAGCTCTCCAATCCCCATACTATTGTGATTTTACGGAGGTGTCCTCACACAGCCATGATCAACTATTAACTTCATTTGTTGCCCTTCTCCCCTCTCTGGAGTATGCGGAGGTGGGGCTGAAAATTCCAAGCTTCTAGTCACGGCTTGGTCTTTTGAGTGACCAGCCCCTACCCAGGAGCCGTCCAGAGTCACCTCATTAGAACAAAGGGTGCTCTTAGTGTTCTCATCACTTGGGAATTTACTAGCATTTTAGGAGCCCAGTGTCAGGGACAGGGTCAAAGACAAATATTTGAACAAGAGATGCTAATTATTAATCACTTAGTAAATCATAAGGGTTTTAGAAGCTCTGTGCCAGGAAACAGGGGCAGAGACCAAAATATATGTTTTCTATTGTCTCACAGTATATATGAGCACTATAATAAAGGCAGAAAGCAAGAAAAAGGGATAGAAGGTATGTGTATGCATATATGCGTGTGTGTGTGTGTGTATAGGCTACCTTCTAGACAGGGTGGTCAGTGAAGATCTCGCTCACCCAGTGACACTGAAATGAAGAACTGAAGGAAGTGAAGGAGTGAGCCACAAGATATTCAAGGGAAAACACTTTAGGCAGAGAATTCAGCAAGTGCAGTGGCCCTGAAGTAGGAGTGTGCCTGTCTTACGGAACAGAGATGAGCCAATGTGGCCAGGTGGAGCAAACAAGGAAGAAAGTAACAGGTGAGGTCAGAAATTCAAGATGGGGTAGAGGTGGGAAGAGGTAGGTGAGCAGATCATGTAGGTCCTCGTAGGTCATTGCAAGCACCTGGCTTTTACTCTGAAAGAGAAGGTAGGCTTTGGAGGATTCTAAGCAGAGATGTGACATGATCTGCCTTAGCTTTTAACAAGGTCACTCTGGCTCTTGGTTGAAAATATACCACAGTTTTCAAGGGTAGGAGAAGGACAACCATTTGGGAGCCTTGGAAAGGCATTTATATCAGCAACAAACGTATTTTGGGAAGAAATCAAATTATGTACCTTATATGTTGACCTAAGGTTTTGTTCCTATTTATCACATCCTCTTGAGATTTTTCTGTGAACCATTCTTTAGTACTTTTATTATCTATAATACCTATGGATGCCTTGCTTTTAGCACTTAAATATTGTATTATTATGGTATAAAGACTGGAACTGTCTCCTTTATATCTCCAATACTTTATGCAGTACAAAGTACACAGTGGGTATTTAATAAACACTTACTGAATAGATATATGGATAATGATAATAATAATGAATAATAAATGAATAGAAGTGTGTTACATGTTTTCATCCTCAAATTTTGGGGGTACAATAAATACTTCCAGATTTAGCTCTGTTATATCTTCCTGGAATTCACTATCTTGAGAAGTAAATCTGAGATCAAAGCTCTGCTAACAGTGCTGAGATTGGATTGCTGATTTTTTTTTTAGATTTGTGGCAACAGAGCCCCAAACACCCCCACTCCCAAGATGAAGTGTGACTTGTTAATATTAGGACTGTGCGGAAGAGCATCCACCTACACCTACAATGTTTGGAATCCAATGTAATCCCTTCTTTTATTTAATGTGTGTAGGCCAAGAGCAAGAGGATTTATGGACACCACAAATTTCCATAAAGTCTCCTCTGTTAGTCTAAAGGCATCAGCAGGTGTTTTATGTACAAGAGCATTAGGAATTTGGGCCAGTTAATTTGAACTCTGTCACTAACTAGCCATGCGGCCTGCGCAAATACTTCAACTACTTGGGGTCTATTTTCTTATCTGTAAATTGGATGTTAGTTTAGGGAATCACTGAATTTATTTCTAGGTCTAAAATTCTATAGGTCCTCAAGCGCCTAGAAACCAGTTTAAGAAATTATCTTAAAAATTACATGTCTTGTTTTTATTTTTCCAGGGGTTTCTTCTTCTGACTCAGAAGGGGACCCTAATAAGGACGAGATGAATCGGTAATTCTAATTTTCTATCTTACAGCCTTAGCATCCTCAGAGTTGCTAACTGTTTAGTAGAACTTGAAGAGGGTGGCTCCAGGGCACAACCTCAAAAAAAAAAAATTGGGTGGAGCTGAAGAAAATACTATGTCTTTTGCTTCTCTTGCTTAAAAGATTAATTTTAATATTCCCAACATTTGAAAAATGAAATATCACCCAAGAAATATCATACTTCAATCTACAGAGTAAAATCCTAATAACTCAGTGTTTCAAAAAAATTCATGTTTTCTGACTAAAAATAGTACCCACAATAACACACAATCTGGTGATCCTAAATTACATATACGAGTGACCTGGGCAAGTCATAACCTTTTTGCTAAACAATTGTATTGAGTACTAAAAAGTTACATCTATCCACTATTACTTTCCACAACCATTGGTTAAGCACCTACTCTACACCAGGCACTTCACTAGATGCACAGGGTACTAAGAACAATCAGATGCTTCCTGCCTTCCACAGCCTAGCAGAGGGAAACATATGCATAGCAAATATAGCAAAAGATGTATAGCATACATACAAACAGTGAGAGTAATAAGGTGTAACAGACTGTGATATAACCATGTGTAGGGTGTTAAGGACTTGGCACAAAGACTCTCTATTGGTTGAAAAGGGAAAGAGGGATCAGAAAAGGCTTAGCAGAGTTAGTGACCTTGAGCTGAGTCTTAAAACAACAGTAGGTAGACATCCCCAAACAAGGGGAAAAGGTATTTCAAGCAGAGGAGGCTGTGGACAGAAGGCATGGGAACTGGAAACAGATACAACAGCCATCCCTTGAGATTACTTGAAACAGATAGCAATATTTGGAAGTCTGGCTAAAGCGCTGTTAACTGTGTTTGCATATTCTGCCCTCCCCTACAGAGGCAAACTCTTTTAACGGCAGAAAAAACATCTTATTCAAAATCCTTTAGGTATGCCTACCTTAGAATGGTAATCTGCCTTTATCTTTTGTGCACATATGAAAATTCATAACCAGAGTAAACGATTTCTCTAACTTGCTTCCTTATCATTCTCATGTCTTCAGTTCAATTCCTCCTTCTTTCCTACCTCTTTACACCAGTCTCCCCCTTATAGGTGCTCCAAACTTTTTCTCTCTTTTCCAGTTTCCAGACTGCAACCAGTTATTCTCTAAAAGATTATTCTAATCTTATTTCCCTGACTTAAAAAAAAATCATTATTTATGGGAAAATAAAAATCAAACACAAAACAAACAACAACATTTTAAAAAATCCTAACATGGCACACAAAGCTTTATTCAATAGAGTGTCAACTATGCTTTCCTGCCCTCTCCTTCTCCATCCCCTCATCCCACCTCAGGCTCTCTGCACTGCTGCCATCTCACTCAAACAATGTGTGGTTCATTTTCATTCCTTTGTTCAAGCTGTTCGCTTTGCTAGGAGTGCCCTATCTCTTCTGCCTGGCAAACTCTTATTTATCCTTCAAAACCGAGTCAAGTTCTACACTAAACTCCTCCTCCACTGCACATTCATCACTCCTTCCTCAGAACTCCCATAACACAGATTGCAAACCTAATGGATATGAATTTGATATACAAACTTAAATAAGAAAGAAATAGCTCATTTGTAATCTACTTGTAGTAGTTAGGATTTAGCTCCACGTGTGTGTAACAGAGAACCAAAATAACAATAACTTAAATAAGACAAATATTTTTCTCATTTACATAAAAATATGAATTTGGCTGGTAAAACAGCTCCACATTCCACTGGGTTCCAGTCTGCTTTCAGCTTTCTGCTTCATCTCATTCTAAGATGTGACTTCATCTTCTTAGTCTAAAACTGGAGGAATAAAGGACATGCCCTACCCACCTTCTAAGGTCATCTCTCTTAAATCACATACATCACTATCCTTCATATCCCATGACCAGAAAATAGTCATTTGGCCACAGCTAGCTTAGATCACAGTTGGGAAATGCAGTCTTTATTTGGAGCAGCCATGTAAAGAAATCAGGGATTCTATTAACGTAGAAGAAGAAAACAGATGCTTCGGGAACACTGACAGCCTCTACATCATCACATAATTCTGCTCTGAGACCCTATCCTCCCTGGCTCTGGGGAAAAAATTCCATCAGTCACTACTGTGTGTCCCTTTTCCCCTCCACAGTTGTGCAAAGATCCCTGGGATACAAACATATAGACAGAGACACAGATATAGACATAGCTTGATATTAAATACTGCTCTAAGCCTCTTACATGAATTACCTTATTTAACCCTCACAAAACCCTATGAGGTGAGAATTATTATTTCAGCATTTTAGAGATGAGGAAGCTGAGGCAGCGGAGGTAACATCTAACAAAAGAGAAGCCCATCCTGTCATGGGTCATCTATCCCCACAGGTTTATGGGTAAGAGGCCCATGTCCCAGACTTCAAGGTCCCTTCAAATCTAGTGCTTTTTCCCTTTCTGACATGCTTGGATACTGATACCTTTAGCAAGAGTGGAAGCTTTTAACCAAAGGGTTGCCATCACCTATGGACTCAGGTTCTCCCTCTTGTCAGGTTCTCTGGCAAGACCCATGGACCACTCTCTTCTCCAAAACAAAACTAAAATAAACTCCCTTCTGCAGCGTTCTCAAGAGTATTTCCTGGTTCTCTTGCCTGTCAAACAATCTCTCTAGTTTAATTTGCATAAACCTGAAGAGCTTGTTGACTCAGGCTATTTCTGCTTTTTGCCATGCCAAAATCCCAGAAGCAAAGATTTATAAAGCCTGGCCCCTACATGAAATAGGGGAGGAGGAAAAATACAGAGGGCAACAACAAAACAAATCTCAAAAAATTTTCTGCACATACTCTGTCACAGCACCTGTCTTGAATCTCAATTAGCTGCAAACATGCAGGGAACTCAAGGACAGAACTGAGGTTTTATTTTCATGTTTACATTGCCTAACAAAGTGTGTAGCAAAGAAACCCTCAGTAAATGTTTGTGCAATATCAGTGAACAAAGATTTCTGTAAGCAGTGCTGAAAGCTTTGCTGAAAGAGTTTTCACAACAATGACAGGTCTGTTTTATAATGTGTATTTTAATCATTTCTCAGAATCCAGAAGCCAAATGAGGTGTCATCCCCTCCCACCACTTCTGCAGCCATTCCTTCAGCAGTACCCCAAGCCAAGCATGTGGTGGCCCATCCCAGTGTGTCAACCATCCAGCAGGTACAAGAGTCAAAGTAAAACACAAGTGCTATGGACAGTGATAGGCAGGCACTGTGACTATGACTATCTTGTATGGCATGAGCGTGTTCTCCTCTGTTGCAGCTTCATAATGCTCCTGGGCAACATGCTTCTACAATCATGATAATCATTTTGTACTTCTGATGTATGATATCAGTGGTTCCCCTGACTTTGGGAACATATTTTCTAACTTAATAGACAAATTTCACAGGAAAAAACACCCTACAAATTAGTCTCTGATATTCCAGCTTCATGAAGGGCATTGATTACATACACAATGAGCTGCCAGCTCTTACACTCGCCCAAGACACTGTATCACGATACTCAGTTTCATGGAACTATAAAAATTTTTTTACTTTCTAAGATAGAGCAACCATGAAATTAATTTTTAGAAAACATCAAAGGCTCTCATCCTTCAAGTTAACGATGATGATGATAGTAATAATGATAATAGTACATGTTTGCTGTAAAAACATTTTAAAAATACAGAAAGTATATTAAGTAAAAACTTTAATCAAGGTTCTACTCCTCTGCCCCAACTCATTGGATGGAGGTACCTCCTGTTAGTTTCTAGCAGATAGTTCTGGACATCTTCTATGCATATTAATATATGTATGTGTGTGTGTGTGTATATATATATATATATATATACTTTAAAAATACAAAAATCATACTAATCTAAACATAGTTGTAATGTGTCATTGATATACTTAAATACAAATATTGATATATATATAAAGATCTACAACCTCTTAAAAAATTTAAAGAGAGTTACTTACCTAATCATTTAGCAATGCAGAGGGGTCACATTTTAGTTCTAATCCAGTAGTTCTCAAACTGCGATCTGTGGAGCCTCAGGGCATCTATGGAACCTCTTCTGGAAGTGAGGGTTCATTACATAGCTCTATGTGTGAGGGGGTGGGGATGGGCAGCACATATTTACAGCCACCATCACCTAGAAAGAAACACAATCAGTTCAGCACAAAATGTGAAGTCTGTCATTTATAGACTTAGAAAATGTCAGTCTTTGGTTAACTAATCTAAATTTCATACCCCAAATTCTGTAAATTTGCTGTATCTATCTATCATCTATCCACCTACCTATTTTGATAATCCTAGTGACAGTCTATTGTTGGTTCCTCTCTAACAGAGTCAGAGCCCTACCAACTATCTGCAAGGATTGGATGGAAAACCTATCATTGCAGCTCCTGTGTTTACAAAGGTAATCAAAATGTTACTTCTTTTGTCATGGCATTAAACACACCACAATACTCAAAGTTGTAGGATCCAAAATTTACTGACTTTATCTCAGGACTTGGATCTTTTATAAGTATAGTTTAGGGTTTCGGGGTTTTTTGGTGGTGGTTACCATGTCACTTCAGGTTCCAGATTTCTAATTACAGTTTGTGTAACAGACAAAGGAAATGTCATCCTCACTCACCACATTGATCTCTACGGCCACCCTACTGCTGTCAAATACAGCAGCCACTCCGAGGGGTCAGGTGATACATTTCTAGGCACTTACAACTCCAAAGATTTCTCCGGATGTCTTTGGTGCCCAAGGAGATGGAATAAAATGCTCCTAGGAGGCTTAACATAAAGCCTCACTTGAGAACAAAGACCTTTCTTTTTCTAATCCATGGTATCAACTATTGTGGTGGCATCAGATACTGAGTTTCATAATCTTTGTATTTGGAACTGGAAATTTTCCTCAGGTACTGTCATTTACGAATAAAAACAAAACAAGGGAGGGCCAGAGAGATTAAGCAATTTACCCAACATCACAGAACTAGTTAGTGGCAGAATCAGGACTAGAAACAAGCTCTCCCAGTCCTGTCTATTGTTCTTTCCCTTACATAATATAGATTGTGTTTACATAATGCCCAAGACAATAAATTCAAAGGGGAAAAACTGAGTCACATTGGATTTGTTTTGGTGTTATAAAGACCACATGGATGGAATCTATGCCTGCATTTACAGTTTATCCTTTGTATGACTACCAAACTTAAGCCCAAAGAGATTTTAGCCTCTCAGAAGTGTGCTTTAGTTTAAAGCAATGGCTCTCAATCAGGGTTAATTTTGTCCACCAAGGGACATTTGTCAATGTCTGGAGACATTTTTGATTGTCACAACTAGGGGCTATGCTGCTGGCATTCAGAGATACTGTTGAACATCCTGCAATACAAAGGATGACAGCCGCTGGCAACAAAGAATTATTCAGCCCAAACTGTCAATCAGTCCTGGGGCTAAAAAATTGTGGTTTAGCACAAAATGGCAATAATGGTATCTTTTCTGATGAGCACAGATCCTAAATGAAAACTAAACCCACAATTTCCACAGAAACATCCATTTTAGGGAAGTTCCACCATTAGCTCAACCAAGATGGTTTTCCAAAATCAAGCAGAGTCTACAGTGAGACATGTTTATCCATAACCGTATCAGGTCAGAGAACATGTTTATGTGAAACACGATGGCCTCTCAATTTTTCAAGTTTGTTGTTTCTTGTAACCTGCTTTTGGAATTTAAGTTTTGCTATTTTCAAAGACTCGAAGTAGGAAAGCAACATGTTTTGACTTGAATAACAGACTTTGATGAAGAGTTATAAGCGGACCTTTATGCGTGTGTGCATGTGTGTGTGTGTGTGTAACATAGCTAACAGAGCTACCTCTAATTGTCTCTTAGTTCACTGCTAAGTCACCTAGGCTTAAAACAGAGCTTTAAGTGCCCAGAAATCAGGTACTTTGTCTTACCCATTTGTCACACTCTTTGTCAGACAGTGCTGACTCTTCAAAGGCAACTAAACCACAGAATAATTTATATCCAGTCCCCAACTGAAGTATCCTCCTCTCTTCTCCAGACACCAGAGAGGTATCCTCATATCCCTCTACTCACTTTCAGATCTTCTTGGGTGCTCTGTCTTGCCTGCATCTGTATAGCTTGGCACATACCTTGGTACACTATTTAGCACAATGATAAAGCTGTTAACTTTTCTGTCTCTCCCAAGCACCTTGAAGGCTATCTCCAATATCTATATAGAAGTCCCTAATAGGTCCAAAGCCATTTTTATTATTCCAAAAAAGTCTAATAGAACTTTAACACTTATTCTTCACATTTAATTTTCGTGGACTTGGTTAGCAACAAGTTTAGCTGCTTCTGTGTGGTGACTGATTACTTCCTTCTAATTAGATGCTCTGATGTGCACATACATGTATGCCTTTGATAAACAAAAATGGGGAAATGAATTAGTCATTAGTATATTTTGTTTGTTAGATAAATCTCCAAAAACATTAGATCCAAGGTGGGAAAACAGTCCTAAGTACAAAGACCCAAACTATGATGAGGCTTTCTCATCAGAGAAGTGAAGTGTGTTTTCGCCTCCATAAATGGGATCGGAGTTGTTCAGACGCAAGGCACCAGGATAGGCTGTGGCTCAGATTCCAAAGAGACTTATCAGCAACGGTGTGCTTGCGTTAGTTTCCATGAGTGAGGGCAGGATTGAGGTCAAAGTCACTGCCAGTGTCATTAGAAAATTTCTGAGTCAGAGCCACTGATGATGGTAATCACGTGGCATGAGCCATGATAACTGATCATTGGCATATGTTTGTTCAGGTTATTCCTGTCCATTTACCTCTTTAGTGACTTCTGGCATTCCAGTCCCTATGAATCACTTTCCATATTGCCCTACAAAACATTTCTTTGCCAATAATGGCAGAAAGCCGTTTTTTTAAAAAGCAATGATTAGAAAGCAGAGCTGTATTTAACTCCTTGTACCTCCTTTGGTGTTAGGGAAGTACTGGTATTATCTTCCTTTTAAAGGTTAAAATGAAAAGGAGGGTTGGCCAGCAAAACAGTGGTAGAGTTTGAGAGAAGCCTGGGGGTCCATATGCTAGTTCACCACTCTATTCATAGGTGATATCAATGTTTTAAAATATTTTATGGCGATAAACTACCCTCCATCCTCTATACAGTATCAAAAACACTCTCACTCTGTTTAGGAGGGGCGGAGGGAATGGTACTCACACTTCTTGAGTGTGAAGGGAGGTAGATGATCAAATTAGAATCTTACTCCTATCACTGCTCCCACTCCAACAGCAGCTGCTCTGGCGGGCTTTCAAGGCTGCAGCAGGCCTGGCTCCAGCTGCTTCAGCAGTAATTTGAAGAGTGCAAGGGGGCAGAGGAAGTGAGAATTTGAAGAAAGGCACTTCATTATATAATAGCAGAAGCAGGAAACCCTGAAATAATCAAGCTGGTGGTCAGATCCAGATTTCTGAAGATTACATGGACCCCTCTTCCCAATCTGACAATTCCAGAGACTTTTCTGACTCACCTGTTGCACTGGGCACCCTGAACAATCTAGGGGTAAAAAAGGTCTTCAATCGAACAGTTCTTAATCAGAAAAAACTCCTCTGATCCAACTCCAGCTTAAAGCACTATACACATTCACATTCAGCATCTCCCAAGGTGCAAAAATAATAACCGGACTTAAAAAAAAGAATTAAATGACAATATGAACCTTGTTGCTGACATTTTTTAACCAATAAGGGAGATAGGTGCCTTTTCTCAAGGATGTCCCTGCATTATATTTGCGGGTATAGACCTACTAAACAAGAACTGTGTTATTCCAACTCACACAGCACCTGGCATAGTACTTTGTACAAGGCAGGCACATCGTAATATTTATTCTGTGGTGAATAACTTCTGTTTTAGCTAAGAAGGAATTATTAACTTTAATTGCTTTGTGGCCTCAGGGTGTCTTTAGGAGGAATAGAGGGGGAAAAATACCCAATATCAAATGGCCAGGGAAGACATGCTTCTCAAGGCTATGTGTTGTCAAGTCACCCTACAAAGAATATCTTCCTGGGTGATCAGTATGGTGATGACCATGACAAGGAAGATTTGCACTTGGGATACTGTTTACCTCAGGAGGTTGTAGATTTTAGTTTTAGTAATTTTAGTTCAGATCCATAATTCCTAGTTAAGACTAACTTAATCTTTGCTAGCTGGGGAATGTTTCATGTCTTATTCATCTTCAAGAAAGTCTAGATGAGCATGATCAAGTCTGTATATAATGCACCATTAGTAACAGCCTAAGACATACTGCTATGTTGACTATGGCCCCATCTATACCATGTGTATATGGTGTAACTGATTTGGACCTGATGTGGGCCAGTTTCTTCTCATGAGACTTTTGTAGGAAAGCACAGTTTTCAGCAACAACAATCATTGTTCTTCAAACTATAACTTTCAGCAAGCTTTTCTAAGTGGCTTGTACGATGACTCTTGGCAACTCCTTTACTGAGTATTGATGATATGTCACACTGGAATGCCTCCATCTCATGTCACAGACAATTAGCAGGCATATTCTATAACTGTAGTATCTCAGGTATCTTGGCTGGACTCTCAAATAGAACACAGGTCTCAGCCTTCAATGTCAAGTGAATAATTACAACCAACTAATGTTAATCTCAACTGTGGGTAACATATTCTCTCAAGGAGGTCCTTTTGCAAGCAGGAACTTGGTGTAAGACTGAGAATTGGTGCATATATCTGAACTGCAAGCCATGTCAGAATGTATAGATTGACCTCATTTCCCTTATACCCATTTTAAAAATGTACCCATTAAAAAAATAAATATTTCATTTATTCAATCCCTTTGGCCACCACCACTTTTTTTTTTAAGTTTGCTTTGGTTTTGTAATTTGTTGGCCTCAAGAAGGAATAAAACTCCATTATGTATGAATCCCAGGGAGGTGTCTGACTGCCATTAAAGTTTTCAATAGGCCCCCAAACTGCCACTTTAGCAAAGAATTTGCTCAGATGTCAGGGTGGAGGGCATATCCACCAGTTTGCCAGGAACACCCAAGAGTCATTGATAGTCCCTGCTTACTGAGAACATTCCATTCTTGTTACTGAAAGCTATTGTTTTGGGATAGACAAAGAATAAACAGGTTTTTAATCAAACAGTTTCTTATTACTTCAGAAACCACTCTGTGCAAGTCACATTCTGAATTACTTCAGCAAACAAATTTGGGAATGCAAAAAAAAAAAAAGGATAAAACATTAACTTTGAACCATAGCACCCCCTGGCTGTCACAATATCAACTTACACACCCTTCTGAGGTAAAAGTCTACCATAACTAAAGCCATGTGGTTATCCCCACCCCTGTATTCCTCAGACAAATGCCATAAACATGATAGGGCCATGCACAAAATACTGTAAATTGTTAAGACAAGAATTGTAAACAAGCACAAGATACATCTGTAGGAGTGAATGACAAAAGCAAAAAAACTATCGGCTTTCCCCTTCTCTGAAGCAAGAGCCAATATTTCCTAAATGTAGATCCCCAAACTGTAATAACACAAAGCCATGCAGGCTTGTTGCTAACAGTACTTATAAAGGAAGTTAATCATAACCTTTCCATGTTTATAATCTTTGGGCCAAAATAAAAAACAAAAATAAGCCTACACACATGCAAAAAGAGCATCTCATAATCAATTGAACTACCAAGTACACAAATCAATGTGACTGACTTTAAGCTCACAAATCATGATGACTGAAAGAAAAATGTGAGTTCCATTCTCTCATAGAGTCTATTATAGAACATACTGATATCTTATAATGGAAAGTGGTTTTTGTAAACTTTTGTGTGTGTGTGTGGAAGTGTGGAAGAGCATTTAACAATGCCTTCACAAAATTACAACATATTTTACCAGGACTTAAGACTCCACATGTGACTATGATTTTATAGAGATTGTCATTGTTTATCTCTCTCAACAGACCACTGAGGCTATACTGTAAAGAACACATAAGGAAAACAAAACAGCAAAATAAAAGTCAATTCCAGGACTACAGAATAGAGATAAGGCAAAGCCAAGAAAACAGTCAGTTACTTGGGCCACAGAGATGTTCCACCTTATGGAACATTCTTGTATGGAAAAAATATATTACTCTTATGCTGAAAACACCTACTAGAATACTCACTGCAGATTTTTTAAATTGTTATTATTTCTGAAAACCAAATTCCACTTGGGAATCTTCTTAAATGAAGCAGAATTACTTTACCAAAAATTAGTATTTTTGCAACCTCAAAATGTTTTGGGCTAGTATTCAATAAATTTGTCTGGCACTGCAGCAGAGAAGAAAAGGAAGAAGACAGCGAGGAAAAAATTTCATATGGGCTCAGATAATTCTGCCTTCAAAAATAGATTCAATACATCCATAGAATTAAAGCTGCTGGAAATGGAAAAGATTTGGAGAAAATCCAAATATGGAGACAATGGTATCTTTTTCTAAAACTCAGCACTGGAAGTGGATTCCAACAATGTATACTTTTGGTTCTAACAATATTCTTCTCATTACAGATGTTACAGAATTTATCAGCCTCTGAGGGTCAGCTGGTTGTCTTTGAATGCAGAGTAAAAGGAGCTCCATCTCCTAAAGTTGAGTGGTATAGAGAAGGGACCTTGATAGAAGATTCCCCAGATTTTAGAATTTTACAGAAAAGTAAGTTGATGCTTTCAGATTATTTTCCTGATAATTAATTTTTATAAATTTACTTATTACACATTTATTTTTATAACTTTTAACAACTGAAGTTGAAAATTATTTGCTTTTTTGTTAATTTGTTTCTGCCTATCACAAAATAGTAGTACTTGGATTGGTATGAAATATGAACCAATACTTATCAGGTCTAATAGCAGATCAGCAACAATAATATATTCCGAATACCATTCAAGCTGAGAAAAAAAATAGTTCTATCAGTGTAGAAGATTATAACTAAGTTTACCAACTACTTTCTGAGTGCCTGCAATTCCATAAACATTCACTGAGCAGCTGTTTTCAGTCCCGTGAGGGCACTTTCAAGAATGCCAAAGAATTTTAAGATAAAGAACCTGCACCTGAGGAAACGGTCATCTATTCCTGGGACTCAGTATTAGAAAACTTAGAGCAAGAGGTATATTCCACATTATATTAGGATGTGAGAGCCTAAAGCCAAGAAGGATCTCTCAGTCTTCACAAACTTTTTTCCAAGTAGGCTGGATGGGTACAATAAAAATAAGTCATTCCTGAGTTCCAGCTAATTCAGTAACTTTTCCTCACCTAAGGTTTATGTATCTCAAGCGGAATCCTGGTGTGTCCCAAGGTACAGCCACCTCATTTAGTCAACAGCGCTCTTGCTGCCCTTCTGTGACAACTATCCTGTTCCTGTCAAAGTCACTGGTTCTTCAGTCATTTTACTTAACTTTTACAGATTAGCCTTGTCAAATCACTCATGAGTAAGCAAGAAACTATGAAACTCTACGGGAAGCTTCTGATGAAAATATCACCTCTCAGTAAAATAAATGCTCAGAATCTTTTAATTCTTTTTTTCTTTTAGAACCTCGGTCCATGGCAGAGCCAGGTAAAGATCATTTAAATTTAATTTCATTTGTATGTTATCAGTGATTTGAAATATGTAATAAAACATTTCAAAATTACACTGGTGTCAAGAAAAAGAGAAAATTAAGTTTTGAAAGGAAGATCCAAACCAACTCTAGCTATTACTGTAGGAGAAGGAAATGAGGGAAACATGTACAAATCTGAAATATATATTCAATATCTAATATGAGTGCAGGTGGTTCTGGGTTGTAGAGCAATATTTCATAGGAATATTTTCCCTCTTTCCTTGGCCCCTACTCATGACCTCCTTAAACTGGGCAGAGCAATTTCCATGATACTAGATCAATTCCAATTCCACAGCCTGTGTCTCAAAACTTATGCATCAGATTTTTAAAAATTGGCATAATTAATAAAATGTCCATGATGTTATTAGATTTGGTGGGGAGGATACTAAGATGACATGGAAATGATGGTAGGTGAAGCTCTTACCTCTAGAAAATCCAGGTCACTCACAAACCACAGGATAAACACCTGAACTGCCTTTCTGTCATCACCCTGAAAAATCAGGTTGTATTTGTGCCCGTGGGTAAGAATGATGGTTTGGAATTTCACTATTATAATTCTTTCTTTTGAAAACTGAATGGAAAGGCATTCCAGATGTAGACATGGAACATCTATGTTACACAGCCCCACGTCAGGCCCTTGGGGATACAGTAAAGACCAGAGCAGTCTTACTCTAGCACTGCTTGTACTGGAGAAGCGTTTTTCCCATTGAAAATATTTCAGGCTTTTGCTACTTTCAACCAGAGCAGGCTTCTTCACTAGGCAGTCTCATACACAAAATAATTTCAGAAATAATTAAGAAATAATAATTTCAAAAGGGGCCCCGGCCCAAAACAAGCCCGAGCTTTATGATCTGAAATTTTAAATTCAGAGAGTTCTTCCTTCTGCCTCATATGATGTAAATACCCTTTGGAGACAGAATACTTTATCTTATCAGGCAGGTGTAGTGTAGTGTGAATGAACTGATCAGATCATTTTCTGACAGCAGATTGGTGAAAGATGTGCAAATGTTTGGGAAGAGGAACAGAGAGAAGGAAGCTTGGGCCAAGGGCTCAGAAAAAGGATAGAGAGGTACCAAAACCAAACTCTCCATCATTTAGGATTCTTTGGGCAGCAAATAAAGAAAATCTAACCAAAAGTGGCTTAAGCTCTAAGAAAAAATGTCTTTTGTCACATAGCAAGAGATGCTCTAAGAAATGGCAGTCTTGAGTTTGGTTAATTTAGCATCTCAGAGATCACCCCAGGGCCAACCTTCCCCCCGACCCCCACCCAATTCTGCCATCTTCAGAGTATCCTCTTAGGCTGGTTCTACTCATATAACCAAGACAGCTGCCAGAGTTTGGGGTATTACATGCAAATGACAATGTCCAGAGGCAAAAATAGGGATTAACACTCTTTTTTAATTCCCTTTAAAAAGTAAGGAAGACTTTCCCAAAAACCCCCCAGGAAACTTTCCCTAATATCTCACTGACCAGAATTGCACACCACATGCCACCACTGAGCAAAAATAGAGGTAGCATGACCAACCACGATTCACCACCTGAGGCTGGGAGAGGTCAGCTTGCCTTGGAGCTCATGACCACTCCAAGCAGAGTGGACAAAGCCAGGATTCTATTAAGAAGGAGGGAGGTGGATGCAAATTTATTGAGCAGGTACTCAACACTGTCTGCCATGGCCTCCTGTCCAGTTTTCCTAGAAGTTATCCAGCGAATTCAATTCAGTTATCATAAAACACCAGGATGCCAAGTTTCTCCTAAGAAACTATGCTTTTATTAATTTTGTTTTTAATGTCAGGTACACTGAGTGATAGATGGAGGTTTACCCTACTGTCTAATACCTCTCTTCATTAGCTGTTGAGGAGTATCTAACTACAATAATTTTAGGCTAGAATCATATGATTCTATCTGGGAATCACCTTTGTAGTGATTCAAAAGGGCTCATGCTATGTACCGGAGTGATCCATAAGAATTACCATAGTGTTGCAAAAGAAAAAATGCATTTCACTCCTTTTTCACCCAGAATTTTAAGTTGCTCTTGCTCTGCCAATTACAATTAGCAAAGCAAAATATTTATTGTCCAGTTTTAAATTATGGCCTTCATTTAAAATTACCTCACTGCTAAAGTTCCCCATAGAAATCAGTCACCAAAAAAGATTTAAAAAGTTCCCCATGGAAATACTACGAGATCTGAGTTTTAAAACTGTTTTATTAACCCCTTTTTATTTTACACAGACCTCCTTTTGCTTTAAATCCTAACTTATTTTTGTGATTTTTATGCTCACTGTTTCTTGTTTCTATTTTTGTCATCTGTACTGATGACATAAAAAACAAATAATCTGCAAATCTGTAATATATAACATTATCATTAAATCCTCTTGTTGATTGTCTGCATGGAGTTGTTTTACATCCTTTGGCTCATTTAGTCTGCTAATCAGTCAATTCAATCAAATAATTGTTTGGACTAATTATTCTCAAACAGTTAATACCATCAGCTTCTTAGATTGATTTTATAGAATCACCATCTAATACCAGAAAATTCCACTTCCAGAATTAAGTCAGTAACCATTCTGTTTTATTGGAATTTAGAAGAGATTTGTACTTTGGTCATTGCGGAGGTATTTGCAGAAGATTCTGGGTGCTTCACATGTACTGCAAGCAACAAATATGGCACCGTGTCAAGCATTGCACAGCTCGATGTAAGAGGTAAGGGCTCTTTAAATGCCAGAACAGTTTAGACTATGACTTTGAATATGAGTATGGAGAGTTTATATTATCCTTCTTTACTGCTTTTCATATGAAGCTAGCTTGGCTCTCCTAAAATTCTTTTAATTATTGAGGACAGCGTTCTTGAACAGAGTCCAATCTTCAATTTCTTTTTTTAAAAAAATTTTTAATTTACATATAATTGACTTACAATGTTGTGTTAGTTTCTGGTATACAGCACCATGATTCAGTTTTTTATATATTCTTTTTCAATTTTTAATTTCTTACCACATTTATCACCACCACCTTAGTTATCCTGCTGTTTATTGTACTACTTAAGAAAACATCTCCTTGGTCTTATATAAGCTTCTAATATTCTTTCCAAAATGGTCTTGGATTTTTTTTAGGTTTTTCCTGCATCCTTACCATCTTTTAATGTCCCCAGATTGTGTTTTCTGTTTTTGAGAAGCATTTCCCATGAGCACACTCACCTGGGTTGGATACATGCCCCAACTCAGGGTTGCAAACATCTCAGTCTTGTTGAGTAAAGCTAACAGCTAAGGTCCTGGTATTGTCCTTTCAGGAAATGAAGACCTCAGAAATAATGGATCTCTTCACTCAGTCAACTCCACCACCAACCTAGCTATTACTGAGCAACAGCCATCCCCACCGAACCCAGAGCCTCCTTCTATGGAACCCCCTAAACCCAAACTGGAAGGGGTTCTGGTAAACCACAACGAGCCCCGGTCCAGCTCAAGGATTGGGCTCCGTGTGCACTTCAATCTGCCTGAAGATGACAAAGGAAGTGAAGCATCCTCTGAGGGTGGAATGGTGACCACCAACCAGACCAGGCCTGATTCTTTCCTGGAGAGATTCAATGGACAGTCAGCAAAAATCCCTGAGCCTTCCTCACCCATCAAAGAGCCACCTCCAGTTCTGGCCAAACCCAAACTGTAAGTAAAAATTGGAAGGGATAACCAAGAGTGCCTGTGACCTTCTCTGAGTCTGCCCTTCTTAAAAATGATGGAGCTGAAAAGGGAACTATAAAATGAGAAAATACACCTTAAATGCTTTGCAGATCACACATCCTTACAACAGTGTAAGTGCACTACGAATACCATCCTTACTATTCATAATCTACCTCCAAGAAATGTTTACACCTAAACTAGCTCAAAGAGATGTTTGTCTAACATTACAGGGCTCCAGGTAAAGCACTTCTACACTCTTCGTATAAAGCCCTTTTTTGTGTCTAATGAGCTTTACAGTCTGTAATTTCATCTTTCTGTTTCCCAGCTTCAACTTAAGCTTTTGTAGTCATTATGGGAAAGATACTTAGCATTTTTTTAGACAGTTCTTTGCTACGGCTAGATATGCCGCAGTAACCACAGTCGGTTGCATATAAATAGAATGGGATGAAAGAAGAAGGCATAATATTAGCCTCACCTCAGAAGCCTGATGCAGTTTGTCACCCTAATCCTCTACAGAGCCTCCATCAGAGTCATGTCGCCATATTTAATGTTCATCCACAGTAAAGCAAGCACAGAACATGATACTACTATTATGTTCTGTCTAATTCACACATCAAAGTGATAAAAATTACATACATAATTACATAAACATTTAAATATCAACAATAAAATCTATGGTACTGGCATTCCCATCATGTGCTTCTCAGTGCTGACTGTAAGATGTTCACTGGAAGCCGTTCATGTTGTTTAGTATTATATTTTCCTCACTACTACATAAGGCAAGATTCTGGGCAGAAAATCAAAATGCTACAAAACATGCAAGTCACATCCAGAAATAGTTCTGTCCCCTTAAAGTTCTGCAAGTCACAGGAAACAGGAATCTACTTAAAGTAAAAATAAAGGAAGAGGTTATTGTAGGGATATAAGGAGGAATGGAAAATGAAATATAGCCAGGCTCTGCACAGAGAAGGAGGGCTAGGGGGTTGGGAGCTAGAACCACATACATGGTCAGTCTCGCCTCTGTCCACTGCTCATGCTCCATCTTGAGCACCTCCTTGCTTCCTCTTTGCATGTCCACTCCACTCTTCTTTCTTTGAAGACTCATCAATTCATATCTGGCCCATCATGGCATGTCCTGTCACGATATGTGTCAGGTTCCACTGCTAACTAAATCAGTTCCCAACACCAATTAACCCAGCCTCGTCAGGTACGGGGGATTTATGTTTGGTGGGAAAAGAGTCAAATGGGTCAAATCAGAAATGTGTGTGAAGGCAGTTCTCAGAGAAGGGAGTCGTGAAAACAGGTAACCTCAAATAATCAATTGCCTCCTCTGTAGGGCCTCCTCTTACCCAAGGGCTGTTTAGGGGCTAGTAGGTATGTCAGTTAGGAATAGGATTAACTTCATGTTGTAGAAAGCACTAACGTGGATTAAACACGTGAGGGTTTATTTTTCTCTCAAACAGTGGGCAGTCTGGGGCCATGATGATGGCTCCAAAGTCATCAAATACCCAGTCTATCTTCTGCTCTGCCATCTTTAGCACTGGCTTCTGCTCCAGGTCCCCTCATGGTCCAATACAGCTGATGGTGCCTAGTTATCACATTTGTATTTCAAGCAGCAGAAAGGGCAAAGGGGTAGAAGCCCTGATATTTTTCTCCTTTACAGGAGCCTTCTTAGGACATACCCAAAATCTTCTATTTCATCGGCCAGGACTTAGTCACATGCTATACTAACTACAAAGAAGGCTGGGAAATGTAGTCTTCAGCTGCATATGTTGCCTCCATGAATAAAATCGAGTTCCCTTACAAAGGGAAGAATTAAGTAGTCAGCCAGCAGTATCTACCAATGAACATAAAAAATTCTTTCTACTAAATTATGTAGTGACACCCTCTAAAAATCCAGTCCTCAGCACTATATGAGTCTTTTTTTTTAACATTTTTTGCCTTTCTTAAATTTTTACTTAATTAGGTGAATATAGGTTTGTGTTAGCAGAGGTATGAATATGCATGTATATGCTCCCCTCACCACACATACACATCCTCTGTGAATCCACATGCCTACAACCTTTTCTTACTGGTTTTAACCTTAGTCGTTTCACCTTTTAGGTTTTGCATTAAAATATACTGACTTTCTCAATAGTCTTGTCAAGGATACAGTTTTCTGCTTGTTCCTTTACTTTGCCACTCATACGAAAAATAGATAAAATTCTTACAGATTTAAAAACTGCAACAGAAAGGGAAGCTGTCATTTTTAAACACTGTGCCATCAAAAAAATAATTGAGACTTCGTAATTTTCAACTTGAGTATTAAGCTACCCAGAGAAGTGATTCTTCATCCTGGCTACACTCTAGAATAAAATGTGGAGATTTTACTGAAAAATATTTATGCCTTCCATCCCAACTGAACCAGAATCTCTCCACAGATTATTTTAATGTGCAGCCAGGTTGGAAACCACTGGTGTAAAGTTGGAGAACCTGAGTTACAAGCCTTTATCACTCCACCCAGCCCCATACACACACTCCTCCACAGCCAAGGTGAAAAACAGAATTAACATTTAAAAATGAGGAAAGTATCAGACAAAAATCAGAATGTACCGGGAAAGCCTATGCTTTGGGGACAAGTGTTTAGAGCAGTGCTTCTCAGTCCTGGATGCACAAAAGAATCACCTAGAGCCTTACTATTCAAAGCACTGGCATCACCTGGGAGGTTGATGGATCTGCTCTACTCCAGACGTACTAAATCAGAATCTCAGTGGGCTGGGCGGGGGACAGAAATCTATGTTTTAACAAGCCCTCCAGAGGGTTCTGCGGCTCACTAAAGTTTAAGAATGACCTACATTTAAAAAGATAATAATAACTATGCCTGGATCCTTTCTCAGGCCAATTGGCTCTCTGCCAGCGGTACCTAAATGGGTGAGGTTTTTTGTCTCAAGCTCGCTGGGTGGTCTAATGTGTAGCCAGCATGGTAATCACTGCAAAAAACACAACTGAAAGCTGATTGTAGAAACATATTTACCCAGAATTAGTTACTTTAATTCATGATGTGCTGGCAAATGTTTTAAACTACAGGCACAGGTGGGGAAGCCCTGATTTGTAGCATTTGCCAATTTCCTCCCACCATGGCTGACTTCAAACTACTCAAAAAAAAAAAAAAAAGCCATTGAACTGGGAATTGGGATGAGGTGTGCATAATCTGCTCTCTAGAGCCATCGAGAGCTGGCTCCAGCACACATTGCCCCAAACTGTAGTTGCCAAAACTGCTTTCAACAGTACTTGATACAGAATCCCAAATTGTCCTGCTGTGTTTGTCATTAAGCTTTAACATTTTACCTTGACCATTTAACATCACTATGAAATTCTTTTGTATTCCAGAAACCACAACAAGAAGCATCCTTAAAATTCTGAAACTCTAATTTTCATTCTTTCAAATCTCAAAATTGATATTTGTAGTTCAGAAACTGAAAAATGTAACAGCCACCATTTATTGATCACGTGTATGATTTAGGTGATTTATCTATCAATTCTCACAATGTTAAGAGATATTACTTATTCCTATTTTACTGATGAAGAAATTGGGGTCATAAAAATCTAAAAACCACCCAAAACCACAAATAATACTATTGGCAGGATTAAGACCTAAGTCTGTCTGTCTGCAAAGCCCATATTCTTGAGCTTCGTGCTTAAGCTAAGTTGTGGCAAAAGAGAAGATATTTTCAGGTAACCTGATAGAGCTGATAATCTATAGAAAGAAAGCTTGGGTGTAAACCTGATTTCAGAAATCCTCACAGCAACAAGAAACGAGCAGCTAAGTTTATAGCATTTTACAACAGGCTGTTATTTTGAATTAGAGATGTTACTCAGGGTTTTATATGCTTTGTAATTAATCTTTCCTTCCTTTATTCTTTCACTGCACTTTGTACCTTCATTATTAAATAGTAAGTTCCACATGTTATCTGTAAATAACCACCGGTTATTTGTATTACATGTGTGTATAGTAAGATAGTTGAGCCCTGAATAGCTCATACTAACCCAGACATGTTTGTATCTCCTATACTACTTGGCAAGGTAAACACACAGAAGACTCAATAAAAGTTCACTGAATACTGGAATTGACACCTTATCCTGATGTAATGAATAAGAAAGCTGAAACAGCTGTTTTAAATCCCTTCTTAAACAAGATTGACTTTAATAAAAAAAAATTGTCTAACTGTCAAACAACAAGACATTATTCTCAAACGAATTCTTCCAGAATCTTAGGTAATCAAAACAAGTTGATGCTACACCTCACAAATCACTATGTTTAAGGTTTGTAACCCTCTACAATCCAATATACAGTATTGAATGATAAGGGCTAAGATGTCTTACTTGAAGTTAAAAGCCAGTTCTTAGTTTGCATTCAATGGGAACTAAAGGAAAACAGGACTCAATCAATACCAAGTGAGCTCCTAGCCCCTTTTTTTCATCCTTATCTTTTTAAGAGTACTTAGCTTTCTTATATTACTTTCTTTACTTCCATAACCACAATAAAATACTTTTGCAATATTATCAGATTAAAATCTACTCAAACTACAATACAAACATGTCCTAAAAACCACATAGCATTGTTTTTATGCTACAGCAATCACAGAATGTGATCTACTAAATATGAGATCCATTAAAAACTTAAAGGTTTTGTATTTTCATGCCATTGAGAAAGTTAACACCTGCAGGAACAATGTTAATTAGACATGTTTTTCTAAGGGTAATCTAACAAAGGTATTTCCGCTTCTCTTGATTGCTAACTCTTTCATCTACGATGAAATGAAAGGGTTTAATTAATTTTTAATTATATTACTTTATTCTCTCAGTTTAAATACTCACTTCTAAAAAGAAGAAAGTTACTGTGTCAAGTAGCTAATACCTCTAAATTCTCAGTTTAACTCAAGAGTTTTCAAAGCTGAACAAACGACTGCACATTATGTAGGATTTGACAGCAGTAATGAAAGTGGATATGGGCCTCTATTTTGTGAAGTTACTTTTCCATATTTTGTGTATCATAAATGTTAATGGAAGGAAGGAAAAAGGTCTTAAACTACAAGAATTAAGAAAAATCAAGGTTTGAAGAAGCTTCTGGCTCAACTTTATTGCTGCTGGTGTTGACTTTCCTGATGACTGTGAAAACATAAAACTTTTCATTTTTAATAGATCTCATGTTCAGCAGATCACCTTCTATTTTTTCAAAGAACATGAAACCACGGTGGCCTTGAAGCACTGTGGTCTCACTTGTGGATCTTCCTAGGGTTATTTATCCAAAAACAGATTCTCCTAAATAGCCAAGTTCGACAGCCCCGACAACTTTATGTACACATAACTTTTAGACATTTTCATTTTCTATTTTCTTTCTTGAAAAATAATTACCTGTTTTGTTAAGAAAAGTAAATAGACTGTGGGACTTAAGGCAAATCATATAATGCTTCTGTGACTCAGGTTTCTTGAAACAGAGAAAATGCTCCCAGTTTGATCTTTTTTAGGCACAAGAAAAGCCGAAGGCTATGTTTACAATCAGAGTTTCCATACAATCTATCATTCAAACCATGACATTTTTGAGAGTGAAAGACTATTAATAACTATGCCAGGAAAACAGGCAAAAGGCAGGACTGTCTAGAATGAATCAGGACACATGATCACCTTATCTATAAAGCTTTGTTGTCAGAAGAGAATGAGAAACACCAAGACATATCCAGCTGTTTTGTTAAGGTTTGCTCTAAAATGAGGCAGAGTGAAGAACATAGCACATTCTTGGAGAACTCAGCCCCCTTCAGTAACTCACATCAGTATGTAGCTCAGTGCCTTCTGTCCCAAAGTATATACTATCTGCTCATCTCGGAACTCTGAGCACTTCCAACAAGAGGACCATAGTTTCTATTTCTTTTTTCTAACTTATAAACATTCTAAAATGGGGCTGCTACATTGCACAACTCCTGGGTCACAACACCTAGAACATGCCTCTTGGCGTTGTGCACCATGGTGGCCTTTCCCTTCTTCCTGGCAATCAAACAGATTTAGAAAGGACAGACAACTCCCAAGGGACTGGCCGGCTGATTTCTGGAAACTCTGGTTTTGTGTTCCTAATCAGCATTTAGTTATAAACAGACTGTCTCTACATTTTCTGAAGGGTGAGGTGATGGTGATGAATTTCTCTTCTCTCTTCCTACTCTTGTTCCGTGCACAGTGACTCCAGCCAGCTACAACAGCTTCACCACCAAGTCTTACTGGAACAACAGCAGCTGCAAAACCCATCTCCTTCATCTCCTAAGGAGTTTCCTTTCAACATGAGTGTTTTGAACTCAACTGCTGCCCCAGCAGTGGCAATGTCTAGCAAGCAAGTGAAGGCCCCTTCATCACAGACATTCAGCTTGGCCCGGCCAAAGCATTTCTTCCCCTCCACGAGTACCACTGCAGCAACTGTGTCCCCTTCCAGCTCGCCAGTGTTCACCCTGAGCAACACTCCTCAAGCCATGCAGAGGACAATGAGCAAAGAAAGTCTCTTAATTTCTCATCCCTCTGCACAAACCAAATCTCTAGGAGGGGTTTCCATTCAAAATGAACCACCCCCTCCAGGTCCCATAGAGCCAGCACAACTGCCACTCACATTTTCCATCTCCAGCGGAAACCAGTTTCAGCCCCGCTGTGTGTCTCCAACTCCTGTCTCTCCCACCGGCCGGATTCAGAACCCAGTGGCTTTCCTCAGCTCCGTTCTGCCTTCTCTCCCTGCCATCCCACCCACCAATGCCATGGGGCTGCCGAGAAGTGCACCATCTGTGTAAGTGTCACTGAGGTCTTCTTGATGTAAAAGATGCCATTTATGAAGGGACATAGGCATAGAATAGCTTGGTCGGGGACAGGACTCTCATTTAGTGCATTCCTAGAAAATCCTCTCTGTAATACAAAATAAATACTGAACACCTTAGGATAAAAGGGCATGATTCAATAGTTTAATTATTGAAAATACCTCTACAAACAGATTCTCTGTGCAGTGCTCCATCTTTGCACAGAAGATGCCATCCATAAATGCCTGATGATGCCTGGTGTCTGGTTGCCATTACACCCACTTTGATATCTAGGCCTCTGTACACTGGCCCGTGCTTTTCATGAGTAAGACAAGTGTGAATTTATTTTACAGGCCATCCCAGGGACTAATGAAGAAAAATACAAAGTCTTCCCAACCAGTAAATGATGATTACATTCGTGAAACTAAGAATGCAGTGATTCTAGACTTGGGGAAAAAGATGAATTTCAGCGATGTCAGATCAAACCAACAGGTAAGGTTGTTGGGTTCAGAGGTTTACTGGAATTTCATTGTAAGGAATATAATTTTGCTTAATTCCGTCCTCGGATGCCCAGGCCATCTGACCTCAGTGAAGCTGAAACTGCAGCCTTAGAAGGCAGAGTACAGACTGACCGTGGGTCATGTAGGAAACTCGTCCACATGGATCTACAGTTCCTGATTAGCCCAGCAGTTAATTCAGCTTACTTGTTTACATGTGCTTACCTAGAATAGAGTATGTGAAAGGAGAGAGACTAAATAGTCTGTTTTCCATTCCAGCAATCCTCAGCTCAGTACTGGCAAACACCATCACATCTTTGAGCTATTTCAATACCTGAGACTTGAGGTGATCTAGACTTCAAGGAACTCTGGGTTTCCAAGCTGGCCTTTATCTGACTTCTTCAATCTAGTGTGCCTGGGGGTTTGCTCACCTCTCAATCCTTACATTAGGTTGAAGCATGTGAAACAGCCATTAGGCAATACCCTGTGATTCAACCAGTACAATGCCTTGCTTTCTAGTTAAGTGTTTACACTGAAGGAGAAAAAGGAAAGCCATAAGCATCACATAAAAGAATGACAGACTGAGTATTTGAGTCATTTATTTTTGCTTTTCATAAGGTGGTTATTTTTTAAATGCAGATTTATATTTTAATAATCTAACTCTTGATTTATTTCCCAAGGTGGAACTGATAAAATATATTTTGAAATATAACATGAAATTTTAGTGAAAACTATATGCCAGGTATTGTGGATTTTGTGACATAAGTGATCTCTGGAAGCAAGGGTCCAGACTTCCCTGATCATTTGCTGTTTTCCTTCATGTTTCTGTCTCTTACTTCCAGTGGAGTCATTGATATACAGTATTGATATACAGATATATGTTGGACAATTTTTACTGAGTGGATTCTTTTGAATATGATGTTTAAAACCTTTTTAAAACTAATTTTAAGTTACTGACTTGAAGCAGGATATTTAAGCTTGCCATAATCAAGTATACTTTTCAGATATTATTTCATCAAATTACATATATTTCTGGGAGGCAAATACCCAGGCAACTACTCTTCTAGCAAAACTCAGGTACAGTTGGCAAACTGTCAGTGGTGGAAGCAGATCTAGAGCCCAGGTCTCCAGGACACTTCCACATTTTCCCTGAAACTCTGCAGCCTTTTTCAGTTTTACGACAGTTACCTCCAAGCCCCATAAATATTGCTCTGACTAGCACAGATTTATTTTCCTATAATACTGTCATCACAGTTGTGGTTGTTAATCCTTCTAAGTGTCATTGAAATCAGAGCTGTATTCAGCCTATGTCCGTAACAACTCAGCCAGAGAGCAATTAGAACCCTGTAAAAATGATATCAGGTCAGTACATAAGCTGTTTGATTTTACTTTTATGCTTACCCTGTAAATAGATTCATGCTAATCCACTGATCAGCTCAGGGGAAAGTAGGGCTTTTCTCTTAATTACTGGAAGTGTAAGTACATATAAACATGAGCTTCCATGAGTGGAGTGCCATAAACCCAGTAGAAGTCTTTATTAAACCTCCATCATGAATTAACTTCAGGGCTAAGAGTAGGAACTTGGAGTCTCAAAAAGCATCTCAGTCCTCTCCATCTGAGTATCTCTGACACATGGCAGTGTTCTTTTGACAATTATCATTCTGGGAGTTACTATGGTATGTTAAAGACAGAATTGATCTTAGACAGCATTCTGTGCCATGGATAATCAAAGCCAAGCTACATAAATGCAATTCAGGAAACTAAGGAGCAGGCTGGGATGGAATGCTTGCATTAGGTTGGCAGATGTTGACTCTGAGGAAGTTTTGAGAAAGAAATGATGACCACATTATAATACTGTTTTGTCCACTGCTGCCTTGGGAAATGACCGTGAAGAAGTCATGAAGAACTGTTTAGATGTATTGTGGCCTGTGAGTGAAGTTAAGAAGAAAATTTGCTTAGAAAAATGGGAAAACTTTATTGACAGCTGGCTATATGTGCATTCTGGGGACACAGGAATCAAAGTAATCTGTTTCCTCACTCCCATATTAGCCTACGTATATGAAGGGGAAGCAAATGATTACTTCTGAAGAGTACGCATTTGTTTTGTTTTATTTTGCTTTGTCAACTTTTAGGTCCAGAAAGCTGGACTCTCTTGTCCCCAATTTAGTCCCAAGCAAATGAGTAGGAACCATCCTAGAACATCTGTGTGGTTTAGCATTACCATACTATGCTGAGCGTGAAAGTAAATCAAAGATCCTTGAACAATGAATATTACTGACTATAAACAATTCCCTCCCCAGAACTCAAACTTCTAAATTAATATTTTACTGGGTAGACTGCCCTAGGAGAACATTGCTAAGATTATGTTAGAGAATGTTTTGCCTTAAATGACTATTTTAGAAATGTATTTTCTTTAATATATATTTCTACCATTTTGTATTTCTGTTATATTTCAGTGTTTAAGCTCTAATTCATTTTATATAACATTTCTAATTAGCAACTAACATTTGCTTATTGACTCAGAACTTTGTGTCATTCTTTCAGATGTTCGTATTTATTTTAAATGTTTAGCTTTCCAAACAGACAATGATTTCTAGACTTTAGGTTGCATCATTTCTTATCTTGAGGGGTATCATTCACCACCAGTGGATCTTCATTGAACATCAATTGGTTTAGGTTATCAAGGTGAATCTGAGAGGTCAAAGAAGTCTAGGATCAAACAAAATGTAATAGAGCCTTTATAACCAATGATTCTAATTCACGTATGACTTAGCATGACATTTTGCACCCAGTAAATAGCTGGTAACTGTTAATGTCTAAATAAACACACACATATCTTTAAAGAAAAGAATTATATTTTCAAGTGGTATATTCTTCTGAAATAATTTTTTTTAGCTTTTTGTTTTCTTTCACGGAGCAACTGAAATTCTATGCAATTCATTTTCAAGTAAGGTCTTTAACTTAAGCCTGAAAAGGATGGGTCATATGTCACTGATTTGCTTGCCATACTGGCCAGATTTACACAGAAAAATATTCTCTACTTTGAGCACAGACACCACCTACAAGTCACTGACAAAGAAATTCCTGCTTTTACTCACATGGGGACAAGGCAAGGGAAAATGGAGAACACAGCACAAATCCAGTCCTGGAAATTCAAAGTGCACAGACACCAACAGTGGACCAGTAGTACAACCTTTGTGCAGAACAGTGCAGACAGCACCTTTAAATTTAACTGAAACATACTGCTTGTGTTTTGCAAATTTCCTTACAAAATCTGAATCCCATCGATCATAACTTGGAATGATAATCTTGATTTATGTGTAATAGGGGTAGTTATCCTTGGGATAACTCAACTCTTAGTTGCAAAACACTACAAACAACAACAACACATTAATTCCTGCTTTGGGGATGGTGTGCATCTTGGTTAACATCTCAGATGTAAAGATTCAGTGCTTTAGAAACAGGCCACATGCTCCTGCCACACAGTTTTCATGGGTTTCCTTGTTCCTGAGGTTCAGCTTCGCAAACATTTTCTGAAATCTTTCACGGAAACTCCTTGATCTACAGTATTCTTATTTTGTCGCTCATCTGCAATTTATACATCATATAACTGGTACATTATACAATTGTGTCTAAAAAGTAATCTTTTCTCCCTTTATCCCTTTAAATTTATCCAATGGGCCTTATTCTTCTCATGTGCCTGGCAGTCTCAAATGTGAGGTAATCTCAAAACATTTTCACCACTTTTGGTTCGTATAAGGGTCTACGTTTACTTTGTTGCAAAATAAAATCTTGATCCATTAATACAAAACTTATAGCCCTTGTAGTAACCAACACTCCAGTCCTTATTCAGAAATAAGACCCCCACACACAAACACCCCCATTCACATCCTGTACCCACACCTCAGGGATGGCTGCAAATGGGAAACCTAAAGTCAGGAAGGAAGTATGGCCCGGCTTCTCTCTTTTTCACTTCCTCCTCCCCTACTTCACTAACCGCTGCTCCTTACTCCCTCCTTTCCCAGCCAGAGGGACATAAACTGCCCCCCCACCACTGGCTTTGTCTCATATGTGGCCCATGTGTGCATGACAGGAACCATCACAGGTCCTCTTCCGACCTGACACATGCAGGAATGCAGGCTACTCAAGCAGCCTTCAGTGTGTCCACCAACAAAACCCACCCTGCTCCTCACTCTAGATTTCTTAGGTGGGAATCAAATACTAACCCACTGGAGGAACACAGTAGGCTCTACAAATGGGTCTATTTAATCTCCCTGAATAGACTGGAGATGAAAGGCAGGTTCTCTGGGGCTAGAGGAGGAGGTAGGAGACTCACAGACATTAATGGCTCTCTCCAAAGTCACCTAACTAGATCTTCTCCTCTAAAACATCTAATCTGTTCTTAAGCATGTGCTTTGAAATTTCTGGAGGACACTTTGTCTCCCAACTCACTTGTCTTCTGATATCTAGCTCATCTTGGTAGAAACTTCCAGTTAAGATCTGGTTACAACTGTATCCTCAGTATGTAGTTACAAACAGTATATTTTAAATAACTCATTGAGTATCCTGTTTTCATCACCTCCCAATCTGTAGTACAGGTAAAACAATATATAACCAATAAGTGTACATTTGTAGCAAAATGAAATATACATATTTTCATCATATTGCTTCCACAGTTCCTTTGGTGAAGTCAATTCAAACATTTATAAATTCCCTAAAATCAGCCCCCAACTTGGTAAAATCAAGTTCCTAAAATTAGTTGTTTAGAATACATGGAGACAACGTGTTATTTATATCCTTGGGTAAGCACTTAAAAGCCTTACATAGCACTCATTTGTTCCTGAAGTATAACTATAAGCCTAACTTACCACCATGTATAGTACCTTTTCTGAAAAATTAGTTCATACTTCCAATATACAATTTCAGAATTTCATCTCCCCCCTGTAAGAACTCTGCCAATGTAATTAGCCAGGAATTTGCCAGCCCTTGCTGGTCATGCAGTAGGAGAAGCTGAAGAAAAGGTGCCTTAGCTTGGAACAAGGACTCCACTAAAACAGTGGCTAGAAGAGGCATGGAATGGATTGGAATTTGGGGACTTAAATGAAAGAAGATGAGAAGTCATAGAAAGCTAAGACTTCTTACCACCCTCACAAAAAGCCTGGAGTGTCCTGAACTCTAGGATCTGTGTGTGAGGTTTGCAAACTATGTGAATTGTTCTTTCTAACTGTAACTTTAAAAATAATAAAGCTATTTAGCACCTACCTCACATAGTAAAGGAATGAAATGACTCATTGGTTTTACTCCTAAGTGTCCAAAAGATAAACAAATTTGTTAAAAGGAAAAATAATATCCATTTAGGAGCATGAATGCAATTCAATAAAGAAGAAAAATATATTCCTTATGTGATTTTTAACTGTCAAGACTAAGAAACAGTTCAAATTTGTGCAACTATTTAACATATTTATGGAAAATACAGTCATTGTATAGCATTAGGCTGGATCACCTGAAATTGCTGATATTCCACAATTTTAACCCTCAAAAATGGCAATTTCATATAGTTCAACCTAATAGGTAGATAGTTGGAAGCTTTAAGTATTAACTTTTTAAAAACTCCTATAATGTAGAAAATAGTCTTAATATTTTCAAAACTAAATTAGGTTTCCAATTAGTGGAAGTGAACAATCTTTTACTTCAATTAGTTTGAATTATCTGATTAAAAACTAATAAGCTTCACTGGGGAGTAATCATATTTTCTACCCCGAAAGAGATGTCGGTTTATTTTGTTTGCCCAATCTGAGATGAGGCTGAGAGGGGAGATTTTAAATCGGTTCCAAGAAATTGAAACCAAAAAACATCTGGTTTCTGTGTTTCCTAAATTCCAGTTCTACACAAATTTAAGTGATAATATGTATAAGACAATAACTAGAGGATATGAGTAATATGATCTAGTAGCTTGTTAACATTTAAGTCCTGAACTCAATTATTATGCCTATGACTGGGGGCAGAAGCAAATCAGCCACGTGCTTCCAAATTCCATTTCAGGTGCATGTTAGTACTATCTCCATGGAGCCTACCTAAATTATAAAATTATGGTTAACTAGAGTCACAAGTTTAACTAATGGTCTCACCTTCACCCCAAAGCACATAGCTCCAGATTCCTCAAAGATGTAGCAGTGTTGGAACAAGTGATTACCCCCAAGTCATTCATGTATTCTTTCATCCTTCAAATACTTATTGAGCACCTCCCATGAGACAGGTGCTCACTATTCCATGCACTGCAGATATAGTTGGAAGCAAGACAAACAAGATCTCTGCTCTTTTGATGCTAACATTCTAAGGCTTAGAGATATTCAAGTATTCAATCAAAAAACAAGCAAACAAGAAAAGTACTAGATAGCAACCAGTGCTCTGTAGAGAATTAGACTGGGGAGCTACTCTAGATGAAGTGGCCTGGGAAGACTGCCGTGGGGAGGTGACAGTTAAGCTTAAGAGAATATGGCAGGAGGGGGAGTCAGAGGAATCCAGGGTAAGTTCTAGATTTAGGTTAACTTAGTGTATTCAAAGTATGGTCTGAGACCTGCAAATTGTCATCTCTCCACATTGAGATAAGTACGTACAGAAACTGAAAGTAACTATTAAGACATTTCTATAGCATCTGACAGTGAAATTTTATGTCTATTGAATTTAGTAATTCTGCATGCCTTGTCTACTCATTTTTCTATCAATTCATTTTTATTTTATTTTACAAGAGTACAGGTTGGAAAACCTATTTTTAAAACCTGGTTTTCACCTTAGGTAGTGTGAGAAATACTGGCTTAAGCACTTAACCAAGTGGATGAATAGTGGTGCCATATCCTGAGATGAGGAAGAGCAGGGTAGGAGCAACTCCTCTGGGGGACAGAAATCAAGTGCATGTTCCTTGGACCATGCTAAGTTTGAGATGCCTATTAGATACCCAAGCCATGATGTAGAGTGAGTTGTTTGTTATATGACTCTCGTGATGTAGAGCAGATCACTGGGTATATGAGTTGCGGGGAGAAATCAGGCTTAGAGACATGGATTTGGAGTCATCAGCATACAGAAAGTATCTGAAACTGTGAGATCAGATGATATCACCTAGAGCAGAGGAGCTAGCAAAGGAGACTGATAAGGATCAACTAGAGGAAGAGATCGAGAACCAGTATGGTGCCATGGAAACTAACAGAAGATAATGTTTCAAAAGGAGAAAGTAGCCACCTGTATCTAATGCTGCCTGAGAGGTCAGGTAAGGTAAGAACAGACAAGTGACAATTGGATTTGGCAAATCAGGAGACCCTGATTGTAGCAATCTCAGTGGAACAGTGAGAACACAAGCCTAACCAGAGTACACTAACAAGAGAATAGGCAACAAGGAAATGAGGCCATAACAATAGAAAGTTATTTCAAACAGTTTTGTTATGAGGGCAGCAGAGATACAGTGAGGTCAGACATGGAGTCAAGGGAGATTTATTTAAGACAAGTTTTCCTCAAGTATGCAGATGGGAATGTCCAGTAGAGACAGGAAGTTGGTGATACAAGCATGTATCAGAATGCAGTTCAAAATAACTCTGCCAAAATATCACGTAGGCAGTTCTACATTATTAGTAGCTACGGAAATTACATTCCATTTTCATTCCATTCCCTACAAGATTGTCCCGGGGCTCTGCGCGGAAGGTGAGGAATCAGGATTCACTAGGACAGTTTGGGATTGTAGTACAGACACTGAAATCTCCTTTAGTGCTCCATGGTGAGGAACTGGAAATGAAACATGCCTGGTTTATTGAGGTTCCATCATGTAAATCTAACATTTGAATCTTAAAAAGTCTCATCCTCAAATTATACTGATGAACACATTCTTCCTCATCCATAGAAACTGAAACTGAAACATTTACCATTTTAACAGGAGTACAAAATTTCAAGCTTTGAGCAGAGGCTGATGAATGAAATAGAGTTTCGCTTGGAACGTACCCCTGTTGATGAATCAGACGATGAAATCCAACATGACGAGATCCCCACGGGCAAGTGTATTGCTCCCATCTTTGACAAAAGACTCAAGCACTTCCGGGTTACAGAAGGCTCTCCAGTCACATTCACCTGCAAAATTGTTGGGATACCTGTTCCAAAGGTAGGGGAAGATGACCAGCCAGTCAGCCAATCAAAGTGCAGAACTATAAAGAGTGCCTTCAAGAAAGTCTTATCAAAAAAAAAGAGAGAGAAAGAAAGTAAGAAAGTCTTATCAGACCTCTATGAAGTATCCACAGAGGGAATGAAAAACAATACCAGAAAACTAATTAAGCCCATATAATTTGACTAAAAAGAGACAATCAGGAATAGGATCATGAAATAGTCAGGCAAGAAGTAAATCAGACTACTTATGGGTAAGTTGACATTTTTATAAAAGTTTAAATTAAGTTTCTTAGTCATGATCTTCTGTTTTGGGCTGTTGATTCTCTCAATCATCAAACTCACCAAACTGACATTTTTCTTCATATTTAACATTTACTGAATATCCACAGCACGCCTGTTGTACCAAGTCAGCTATATTTGTATCATTACTATCAGGTTGGTAAATGCCAAAAATGTCATATCGTTACCTCTGGCTGCTGAAAAATCTTATGAGTCACCAGATTTTTTGGCAGTCAGCTGAGAGAAGGATTTACACCAGGTTTGTCTGCAGCAGGGAATTGCTCCACTCTTGTTTCACAGACATTAATGTGCTGTTAGCATGTATGATTAGGTAGCCAGGAAATGTAGAGAAGGGCAGCTGCAACCAGTACTTTCTCCCCGATCTTTAAGAGATCTCCTTGATACACACAGAAGTTAACATGAAAACCATGTATACTTAAATTTTAATCAGATGAGAAATGTATTAGCATATGAATCTTGGCCTCGTTCTACTTGGTATAATAAACCATACTCTCCTTTCAAGTAAGGTGAGCTATTCGAGGCCCTGAGACCTGGGACTGCAGGAGACTTGAGCTTGTAAAAAAGGATAATGGGGAAAGTTCCAGACTCCTGGTTTTCATTACTTTGCCTCTGAAAACACATCTGGTCCTTAGCATGGCTTTTTAAGAAATTAAAAAGTACAGTAAAACTAGTCAAAAGCCTTATCTCAATCCTAAATTATATATCATTTTTTTACCTAAAAATTCTGTGTGTACAAGGAGCATATCACGCTGTCATTTATCATATGTTTTATAACTCTTTTCTAAGTGTTTTAGAAGGGATGGGTTCCTTGTTGTAGAGATGGCAATCCACCATTGCCTCTTCCTATTCTTTACATCTTTATACTCTAAAGATGTACAGAATGGTGTTAAATTCTCCTTGATTATTTTTCATCACAGGTTTACTGGTTCAAAGATGGAAAGCAGATTTCAAAGAGAAATGAGCGCTGCAAAATGAGGCGAGAAGGAGATGGGACATGTTCTCTGCACATCGACGCCACCACCAGTGATGATGATGGCAACTACACCATCATGGCTGCCAACCCCCAGGTGGAGATCAGGGCTCTGCGCCGCACTGCGCTCTGAGGAAGGAGCGGTTGATGTCGTTGTGAATAAACCTTGAGAAGTGCGAGTTACTAAGGATAGCTGGGGAAAGTGAATGAGAAGCACTAAAATTGTGTGTAACTAGAGCACAGTATCACAACTTACAAGACCAGTCAGCTGCTGATGGGTCACTCAACCCTTCAGCCTTAGTCAGAGAACGTCCGCAGTGTCTATACACTAAGTAAACGCCCCAGACCTATGAGACTAAATCTTGTGTTTATCAATTCACTGACTCTCTCAAAGAGCCTATAAATCATTCTGTCAAAGACTGATGTGTCATTTTCTGTTCTTTAAAGAATAAATTACTTCATAAAGACTTGTGACTACCCCCACTCACAAATTTTTATCAAAGCTGGAAAGCCATCATCTTTCGCTCTCCTTTTCTGAAGAGATGAAGACTTAAAATTCCCATTAAAGATATGGCAGGATAAATGCCTTCAACTGCTATTAGAATAGGAGGTACAGCACTATAATTTCTACTCTCACCCACTCCTCCTATTAAAATGTTAATTTTGAAGATAATCTCTATAGAGGAAAGTATAAAAATACATGGCCATGATCTCTGCATGTGCCTGCAGACATTAAGTGCACAAGAATTAAAATTTTTTACTTTTGTGCTCTGTTCATTCTCAGCTTAAAAATGAAAGTCATCACAATACTCTTAAAAATCCTTTCCCCTAGAATACTATAAGTGGTTTAAGGAGTTTTATCATTTTCATTCTCCCCTCCAAAAAACCTCTCAATATTTAGCCAAAATTTCTCATAATGTTCCAATCCATAAAAATGTATATAAATAGGAAAATGTAGAATTCTTCTATTTTAATTTCATTCATTTTCTGTTTCTCAGGGGAGAATCAGCTGTTCTGGCCACTTGATGGTACAAGGTTTGCCCATTCGCAGTCGACTAACAGCTGCTGGTCAGTCTCACAGGTAAAGACAATAAGAATCTCCTTTCTCTAGCCTCTCCCAAACATCCACCCACCACAATGAGCACTGAAGTACTGGATCAACAGATTGTTACTTAACATGTGGTCCTCCACCTGGAGCATCTGCATCA